GGGAGGCGAGGAAGGCCGGGCCACACAACCCAAGCGGGGACGGCCGTGGGTGAGGAGATCCGATTGGATCAAGCGCCAAGGCCGAGGAGCGGCCGCGGGGGGCGCGCCGGGGACGATCGCCGTGAGGAGAGGCAGATCGCGTAAGACGGCAGGAAACCGTGGGGGACCGGATCCCGAAGGCCCGGCACCAGGAGACGGTGGCAAGGGGACACCTAGCGGTGCAAGAGGAGACGAGAGGCCAAAACCCGGAGGACCCAAGGGGGAGGGGAGCCCCAAAGGTGAGCGGGGGGCCAAAAGAGGAAGCGATCCCGGTGCGACAGGGGGATCAACAGTGCCCGCAGAGATGGTCGCGAAGGAAGAGAGCGGGATCAAACGCGACACCGAGGCGGGGGGCGGGAGAGAGGGCGCCGGAACGGCGAGAGACGGAGAGGGAGACACGGAACAGGAAGAAAGAGGAGGCAGGGGAGGCAAGGGGGGGAGCGAAAAGGAAGGGAGCTCCCCCCGAGACTCCACATCAGAACAGCAGGGCAAGAGAGGATGGCCAGGCACTCCCGAGGACAAGGCAGACAGAAGGGGAGCAGGAGGCGACCCCTCACCCAAAGTGGGTGCCACAAGCCGGAGCGGGACAGCCAAACGAGAGCACCACGGGGAAAAGGCAGGGAGACTCACCAGCCAATTAGGAGGGGGCAAGCGGCGACGGCGATCCCGCTGGAAGGCGCAGTGAGGTGGATCACTCCTCTTGCGGGGCTGGGTGTACTCCTCCCAGCACCAGACGCAGGCGCCATGTGGTCCACGGGCGCGGGTGGCCATCCAGAGGGCGTGGGGGAGGCGACCAGCCAGAGGCACCCCCTCAGCCGGATCGTCAGGCGGAAGGTCGGATCCCCGGCGGCTGCGAACCAGAGGGCGGGAAGGATCCGCCCCATCAAAGGAGCGCTTATGCCCCGTGAGGGATCGATCACCTGGACGATCACGCACGGCCAAGGAGCGAGAGGAACCAACACGACTGGGAATGCGGCCAAGGGCAGGATCGTGATGAATGAACGACCACAAGAGCTGCCTGAACTGCTGGTGCGAGTGCGCCCCCCAAGCCTGACCCGCGGGATCGGCTAGCAAACGCGTGCGGAGCGACTCAGGCAAGCCGTTGTAAACCCAAAAGACCCGGTCGATCTCCGGGACAGCAGCCCCCGCGGTGCCCCGCTCACCGAACAGCGTGTCCATGCGGGTGAGGAACTCAAAGACAGTGGCGGGGGGGTGAGCGGCCAATTCCTGGATCTGCATCGTCAGACCCAGTAAGGTTGGGGGGCGCGCAAAGGGCCCGCACCACATGATCGCCTGGGCCTCCTCCCAAGTGGTGGGCACGGGATTGGCCTGCAAGTGCAGGCGCCAGTGAGCTGCAGCGGCCCCCTTGAGAAGGACCGGGAGGAGGTTGATGCGGTAGGCGTCATCCCGGTCGTAGTTGCAGAGGCGGCAGTGGGCGTCGAAGTGGACCAGAAACTGGTCCCAACGATCGCCCTTGGGATCGCCGGAGAAGGTAGGCAGCGAGGGGACCCCCCGGGGGAGCGGAGGAGAGCCGGGCGGGGCGGCAGCAGACCCTCGAGGAAAGGCCTCCAGGGCGGACAGCTGGCCCTGGAGGAAGACCACTTGGCGAGAGAGCTCGTTGGTGGAAGCCGATCCCAAGGATGGCGGGGCAACCTGCGGGAGGGCAGAGAGGGGAGGCACAGGCAAAACAGCACCCCGGGATCCCGAGCCAGCAGGCAGCAGGGAGCCGATCGGGGGATTCAGCTGGTGCCCAAGCCCGGAGAATGCTTCCATGCTCGAGGCGGGTGGGGCCACAGCCAAGGCCGCCACAGAACCCGCCAAGGAGGGGGGAATTGGAGACACAGCACCCCGGGATCCCGAGCTAGCAGGCAGCAGGGAGCCGATCGGGGGATTCAGCGGGTTCCCAAGACCAGAGAATGCCTCCAAGCTCGAGGCGGGTGGGGCCACAACCAAGGCCGCCACAGAACCCGCCAAGGAGGAGGGAATTGGAGACAAAGAACCCGAGAGGGCCCTCCCTTCAGCCCCCGAAAAAAGGGGCAGCGGGGCGGTAGGGGTGGGGGCCGTGATCGGACCGGAATGCGGCAAGGGGGGCAGGCGGCTGGAGGGACCCACGCCCGCCAACATTTGGCGGATATGCTCCTCCAAAAATGGCAGGAGCTGCCCGGCCAAATCGCGGGCATTAGGCAGGTCTAGCGGCCCCAAAACAGCGGGGCGAGGGGGCAGGTTCGGGCTGTGAGACAAAGCATCGGGCGCCCCGACGATCGGGCGCACCGCCGGGGGCGTACTCGCCCGAGGGGGGGAGGATGGGGGGTACAGGTCCCCCCCAGCCGATTCGAAAATTGTGCCCCCCTCGGCCGAATGGGCGTGGAGGGGCGTGCCGATCGGTTGGGTGGAGACCACCCCGCTCGCCTGCGCCGCACAGACTGCTGGCATCGGTTGATCGTCGCCGTCGGCGCCGATGGCCTGGCTGGAAGTGCCCTCCTCGGACATGGCGATGGAGATGGCTTGAACTCGGCGAAGGCGGCGATCGGAGGGAGGCGGAGCAGCCCTGCAATCGAGGAGGGGGGGCCGCACCGCGAGGGGTGGGTGGGGCTGAAAAAGGCCGCCGGGTTCGCGAGAACCCGGCTCCGAAACCAAATGTTGCGCGGCAGCGCGCAACAGGGGGTGAGAGAGCGTGCCGGTGCGGGCGCTCGAAGGCCATTAAGTTGGGACCCAGCACCGGACCCCAAGTACTACGTACTTGGGGCCACACCCGAGCGCCGGTACCTGGGGGTACCCCAGGTACCGGTGGCCACCGCCCTAGTGCCGGTCTAAGCACTCTAACCCCTACACTATCGTAACCGTAGCCCTCTTGGGCCGGTTACTGTAGGGGAGTTGTCGATACCCCCGGGTACCGGTTAGTGCAGTACACGCTAAGCCAATTGGGCTGGTTCAAAAACCTATGAACTCCTAACAGAGTCTATTTTCCTGTCAGATACCTTAGTCACTGAGCATTTCAATTTCTAGATCTCATTTAGAGAAATATTAACTACCCCCTGTAGTTTACACCACAATTCCATTTAGTGAGGTCATCGGCTATGGTAGTGTAATGAACGAGCACCAAAAAGGGCAAAGATGGCTGTAAATTACAGCCCATTTTGCAGTAGCTAGAACAATTGGTTTAAACCCTTCGGCATAGTGACGTAACACTTGGCCTTGTTTGCAGAGAACGTGATAAAATATATAACGCTCTTTTATTAAAATCTTTGTTGAGCAATGTAAAAATATTAAAAATAACGCTCTGAAACACAAAAGGCGGAGCAAAAAGCATAACAGCAACATTTTCCAATGCGGAAGGTATTAAAAACCAACGGTAGTTAGCGCGTCCTATATGTAACGTAAGAAGATCTGACAGGTGTTCAGGTGATACTCGAATGAGACCATAAAGCATGGAACGATTGCTTCCCATGAGGGCCACGAATGCTCTGCTGGGGGAGTAAGGGAAGCGTCTGCAGGGGCGCAACCAGGAGCTCTGCCTGGCCATGGGCGGGGCGGACGTCGTGGCACGCTTTCAGCGGGTGTACAAAAGGGCGTCGGACTTGTTCAGCGATTGGAAGGATCTTCAGGTGCTGCGCCGCCCCAGCCTTTTCCCTGGCGGACTCGCATCAGTCCCGTCGCTGAAAGGGACTGGCGTGGGATGCTGAGGAGCAGCCCTTGAGGCGAAGTGATCTGCTGGCCAAAGCATTAGCCGACTGAGCATTTGATCCAGTTTGACCCAAAGGGTGTTGTGCACGGTTGGCGTGAGGTATTTGCGCAAGACATCTCGGACCGACGGGGCCGATCGGAGTCGATGGCGGTTTGTGCCTGTCCTTGATGCACTGTGTTCATTTTTGTTGTCTATCATTTGAGGCTTGGGGTGTTCTTTTGCCTCAACTATTGTGGCGTTCCATGAGGAGCTCAAGAAATTTTGTGGCAGCGGCATTAACTGGTTTCAGATGAGACATCTGCCGCGATGAACCTGTCATTTGCCAAGTTGCATTCAACGGACACGTGTGAATTCTGTTTGGCTCAGGCTGAAGCCACCGGCATATTCTCATTGGTTGCCAGTGCAGTCCCAAGACTGCAGGTGTGGTAGCTATGCATCACTTGAGGAATCCCACTGCATTTTAAAAAGGAACGATGGACAGATCTCATGCTGCTACAAGCAACGACTGAAATGGAATGAAACAAATCTCAGGTGCAAGCGGAAGATGACTGGTGCACAGCTTTGCTGAAAGTTTTCATCAAACTGCTGAAGACCCTGAACCCAACTGTGCTTGAATCCTGCTGCATGAAGAAGAAGATTTCCAACCCTGGCACTATGACAGCCCATTGCACATGTCGCCACCGTGGTATCGCTTGAATTCTCCTCCGACTACCATCCTAATGTGTCTGCCCACCTGGCCCTACGGCCCCAATCCTGCTGCATGAGAAAAGTTGCTCTGAGAATTCAGCAATTTTAACTGTTTGGCGTGCCTGTTAAGGTGCTCCATGCAGCCCTCCATGCAAATCATGCCTTCATACTGATGCGGCAACAATCCAAAATCAAACAATTCTGCTCACAGAAGAACAGAGACTTGTCTATTGAACTGGATTCAAGCACATCATACCCTGGACAGGGAGAATCGTAAAACCAAGGGACTTCCAATCTTGGAACATGGGCATTACAAACAAGATCTTGCACCTGCAGGCAACGATGGCACACAAGATCCTGTCAATGTTTGTTTAAGGGCACTCCATCGGTGCCGTGCTTCTGTTATCTTTCTGGCCAGGGCATAGTTGCGGCAAAAGCCTTCAAATACAAGCTCTGGCAAGGATATGGTGTTCTCACCAAGTATTTACACATAAGACCTTGGTTGTTGAAGAGCATTGAGGATAAGTTCAGTGTGTTTTCTTGCGACAAGGTGTTGCATGAGGAGCAGGAGTTTGGGTCGATTGTGGGCATGCGTGATGTGCAGCGGCTGGTGCTGGCCAGGCAGCTCCAGGCACTGGAAGATACCCTGCAGGATCTGCGATCAACGGTGTGAGTCTTCCCTGCCATTGCTTGCCCGCATGTCCTTGCTGTTGGAGACCCCTTGCTCGTCCGCTGATTGTTCCAGAAGAAAAAGGACAAGTTGTGCAAAACACATCCCCATTGTTACATAAATTGTCAGAGTATTCTCTGCATTGGGACTGAGAATGGAGAAGCCTGACCTATCAACCCACCTGCATTCAAAACACTGAAGGGAAGTGCAAGCCACATCAATTGACTTTTGCCTACTTCGTTTGCAATTCCCACAGACCCAGTCCAGATTCTCAATGTACGGATGATGCATGTTGGCTGCAGCTCCAGCCAAAAGACTGTTTGGCGATCTGTTTGTGTGTGCCAACAAATTACACAGGCATACAGATGTGCACAGAGACCCGCATGCCGATGGACATGAGATTTGTAGTGTTGTTTCAGATGTGTGCATTCGATACCTCTTGACAAGCCTTTTGTGTATTCTGAGCCACACCACTTATTCATTTATTTTTGGGCTGCAGATGCTCACTTGATGCCTCTTGACAACCTTTGTGTGTGGGTGCTTTGTGAACAGGGAAGGGTTTGCCAGGATTGCAGCTCTCCATGATCGGCAGGTTCATGCTGCAGCAAACATAATCCCAGATCTGAAGTTGCCGACAGGAGCTTTGCGGGCTTGCATGCCGTTGCCTATGCCATCAATTGCAGAGTGTATAGATGGTCTGAAGCAGATCAGGCAAGGCACAAACTCCTACATGCTATTTAAACTTGGTTGACCATGGCCCAAACCTGAACAATGGGGCTCAGTCCTCCATTGCCTGCAAGGTGCAGGGGCACAGCCCTGCCACTTGGAGCAGTTTAGTCAAAGAATGCCCATGGATTGTGCGGCTTAAGTTCTTCTTGACATTCATCCCACACAGTTTAGCAAGCCCAAGGCAGTGCACTGCAATTGCAGTCTGCAGCTGTGGCAGTTTCTGCTCATTGGCAACCCCTCTCGCCAGGTCCGTGCTAGTGCAGGTTGCATTGCGAATTGATAATGTGATTTTGCAGAGAAATGGTGTGCTACTTTGTTAATGAGTGAATGGGGGACATTCACAACTCTGACTTCTGATTTAGGTGGTGAAAGGGAGACGGTGAATGGGAACTGGCACAGTCTGGCATGCACACTACGCCATGGACAGTTTTTGGAAATTTTGGGACTCGTTTGGGTATTACCTTGGGCTGCCTGTTCACAGTTCCTGGGATTGCACTGCAGAGACAAGGTGCTTTGTAGTGAACGATGTTTACTGGTGTTGGTTGTTGGATTTATATCCAGTTCCATATTGTGTTGTCACCTTCAGATGTTCAGTAGCTATGTTGCTGTATATCCATCAGTTGGCATATCAACAAAGGAAAGAGTCATGTCACCACCTGCTGCTTTGTCAACCAACCAGGGCCCACCACGACTGCAATGCCACATCGGCAAGGAGTGGCCCTGCAAGGCACCTTCCTAACTGTTCTTTCTAATCATGGCCCAATGTGGCATGTTTGAACGATCCTTGCCTTGATGCGGACATTCTTGCTGCAATGAGCCTTGTGCCTCTGCCACAAGGGATGACAACCTGAACTGTGTTTGTAAATGCGCAATGCAGGTTGATGTACGCGGATGAGCTTGCACTGAAGAGGGCCATTGTGGATCAACTCACATATGACTCCACAGCAGAGGATTTGGCAGCACTGCAGGCGCTGTTCATAGGTGATGCACACATGATGGAAGCTGGTCTGTGTCATGCTTCCCCCATGCTGAATCAATAGTCTCTAATTGACAGATAAATTCTGTTATCTGAATGGTCTCCAAAGTAACAATAAAAGTTAGAATCGAAAAGATTGGGTTCCAAAACCCCTGACTACCAATTTTTGTGACAAAATGCCCAGCCCCACTACCTCTGGGGCCGAAAAATGTGCAATCTGATTTGGCGTCCATCAGAGATCCGCGTGGTTCTGGGTTGCTCACATCCCATGCGTGCCAAACCAAAGTCGCTGCTGCCTTCGTGGGGAAGGGCAGTGTCCCCCACGTGGAATAGCGCTTGCCAAACATGCTCAGCTATGTTTGGATCCCCAACAAAGAAGTCCATTATCACAACATTGACGGTGGCAGAAATCACAGCGATCCCTGATCTGCGATGTGCAGACTTGCTACAAGAGAAAAAGCCCCCAACTCCCAAGATGCTCAAGCTTGGGCTGTGTGTGGGCTATGACTTTGGCGTTACATGGTAACTTTACTTTGACATTGCGCCTCAAATGATGCTTGAATCGAGGCTTTTGTGAGTGGCTGGGCCCACACTCCACAAATTTCCACTGGTGGCCAACTTGTATGTGCCATCTGCTATCCTTCACAATCTACCTAATATTTGCTAATGAGAGAGTCTTGAGTTCATCCATCTGGTGATTCCCTTCGCATTCCACTGTTTTCCTATTGTTGAGGCAAGGTTGCCTTTGCCATCCTGCCATGGAAGTCATTCCCCTTATTGTGCACCGCTGATCATGGTGATGACCCTCGCCTTCCTTCGCGCCTCTTCGAGGGATTCGGGAGGCCTTGCACAGTATCCTTCATGGCAGCGATGGAGGTTTAATAGTTGGAACACAGAAATCTGGGCCAGAATGCATCCCCAAATCGGCTATGCGATCTCGATTTGCTGTTGCGAAGCCACAATGACTTCCACGATCAAGCCCTCCAACCTAGAAGGTTGCAGGCTCCAGGAGGCTCCAGGAGGGCTGGAGGCTACAGGACACGCTTTCTGCAGCTTTGACTCTTCATTGGGACCTCTGTGAGCTTTTGCACAAATGGCATGGGTGGCTTTGCACGGGCGACCTTGTATTGCTGCCGCGAAGGCGTGCTCCTTACTATCACGCAAAATGGCCATTTCGGTCACTTGGTTGACCAGCAGGTGGTTTTCTGGCTAGAGGATGCTTACTACAAAGTGCTACCACAACCTCAATACTCAACAGATCGATTTGAAATGTTGACCGTCGACTCCCAAAACATATGCATTGCTTTGGAAGACAACTCATTGAAAACTAGAGCTTCCATGATAGACAAGTCTGGCGCCGAAGGCATAGAGGACAATTAATTCTTGACGATGCAAGTATTTGCAATTACAACACCAATCAGTACTCTGACACCTGCAAGCATGATGCAAGGTGCAGTTCTTCTCTCCAAGTATCAGTTCATGTAGTGCTTACAATTGGTAACAGAACAATTTGAAGGGCAAAAGCCTGACCATGGGCATAAAGATGCTTGCAACTTTTATGGAACAACAGTTGACAAGCCAATAAGTACATGATATGGCTGACCTTAAGCCTTTCCTCATGGCATTATATGTGGAGCAACGAAGGCCAAGTCATGCATAGGACTATTGACTTGTTTGTACATCAAATAGATCATGACAAACTGTTGCTTTTGCACATACACAGGCAATGACAGGTGCTGCATGCCGTCAGATGGTTGTTCCCACATTGTCAGAGTATGTTTTAACCTCAATAAACTCTAGCGAAGATGACGCAGAAGTACCCGCATGCAGCTGGTAGGCCAGGCAGCAATGTCATGCAATAGGCATGTGCACGAAAATCTATTTTCCATGCTGTGTTCGGTTGCTGTTGTTCTTCATCAGTTCATGTGGAAAACATATAACAGAATGTGTTATATCTCAGCCCCATGCTGATGTGTCACAAAGTATGTTAGCACAGGACACACTCTTCGTAACATGAAGTTGCTTGCATTGTTTTTGCAGCGGAGCCGAACATCCCAGCTGCTACTGTTGCTGATGTTCTGTCGTTGGTGCTGGTGACAATCAAAGAGGCGAAGGTGTAGTGTTGTGGAATTGTGGCCTGTTGAAGTATAGCATAATGAATCGCCGTCGATTTCATCTATGCTTTGTTTATACTTCATTTCTGCTACGTGCGCTTCGTCCAAGAATTGATGTGATGGTTGAAGGATTGTCGGGTCGGCCGGTTGTCATTGGCAATGGCGTTGGATGATCTGGCGGGAGCACAGCTGTGGGTTGAATTAAGAGTAGTGACAGCTGTTGTGCTTGAAAGGCACGTTGGATTATGTGATGGAAGTGCGGCTGTCGGGTTGAATCACGAGTAGACTGACAGCTGGAATGTGTGAAACGATCGATGGGAATGTACGATGTGTGGTTTGGCGTACAAAAGTTGGACATGGCAACATTGTAACAAATCCTTGTTGGTGCCGGGTTCCATGCTCCGAGTGCCGCAAGGCCGCGTTCCGAACCGCCCGGCAAATCGCAGGCTCCCGACGCCCAAGGCGTGGCTTCCGTGAGGCTGCGCGGCAGGGGATAGCTACTAGCAAGCGTGCGGACGCGGGCCCCCAAAGTGGAGCATCTCCACACGCCGGAGCCTTACTAAGGTGCGCGGTGATGGGTCGACACGCCCCGTGAGGGCTGTGCGATCGCGGGCGGAGGACCCCGTGCGCCGGCGAGGGCGTTGGCGCAACGTGGGTTGACGGGGAGCGACGGGAGGCAAAAAGGGAGGGCGCATTATGTGGTGCATCGAAGGAATCGCGAACCGTGGACGGGACTACTGCAAGGCGGAGGTACTGCGGGTTCCGGCAGCGAGTGCGGCTGCGAACGAAGGCCGAAGGGGGGCGATTTGCGGTCGCCGCTTCTCTGGCTGACTCCGGAGGGGAATCGCCCGTCATTCTGCGCGTGATGAGGCGTTCCTTCAACATGGTTTTGGAGCTACGTTGGGCTCCATGGAGATCATTTGAATCATGAATCTGATGAATCTGAATATGAAGATGGCAGCAATGAACGATGATGATCAAAGGCTGCTCTATAATACGGAAATTAAAGGGGGATTCTTCTTTTTTTATGCATCAGAACCTTTGTGGTTGACATTTGGCGATTGACTCTGGGAAAGCGCAGCCACCTTCGGAGCCCCTCACTTCGCTCGATTTTTAGTATTGAGTAAAGGAGGCTCTCTGGGTAGGGTTAGTGCAGCGACGAAGGGAGATTTGCTAATGTATGAATACGATGCATTCTTTTTGAGAAGAATCTGATGGGCCCACCAAGAGCCGCAATTTAGCATATTCGATGTTGTGACATCATGGCTACAAGTATAGTTCGGAGTTTGCACAGTGGGAGGCGGGAGTGCCCATGTTGAAGTATAGCATAATGAATCGCGGTCGATTTCATCTATGCTCTGTTCATACTTCATCTCTGCTGCGTGCGCTTCGTCCAAGAGTTGATTTGATGGCTGAAGGATTGTCGGGTCGGCCGGTTGTCATTGGCAACAGCGATTGGATGATCTGGCGGAAGCACAGCTGTGGGTTCAATCAAGTGTAATGACAGCTGTCATATTTGAAAGGCACATTGGATTGTGTGATGGAAGTGCGGCTGTCGGATTGAATGATGAGTGCATGGACAGCTGTCGTATGAGAAACGATTGATGGGAGTGTACGATGTGTGGTTTGGCGTACAAAAGTTAGACATGGCGACATTGTAACAGATCCTTGTTGGTGCCGGGTTCCATGCTCCGAGTGCCGCAAGGCCGCGTTCCAAACCGCCTGGCAAATCGCAGGCCCCCGACGCCCAAGGCGTGGCTTCCATGAGGCTGCGCGGCAGGGGATAGCTACTAGCAAGCGTGCGGACGCGGGCCCCGAAAGTGGGGCATCTCCACACGCCGGCGCCTAACTAAGGCGCGCGGTGAAGGGTCGACACCCCCCGTGAGGGTTGTGCGATTGCGGGCGGAGGACCCCGTGCGCCGGCAAGGGCGTTGGTGCGACGTGGGCTGACGGGGAGCGACGGGGGGCAAAAAGGGAGGGCGCATTACGTGGTGCGTCGAAGGAATCGCGAGCCGTGGACGGGACTGCTGCAAGGCGGAGGTACAGCGGGTTCCGGCAGCGAGTGCGGCTGCGAACGAAGGCCGAAGGGGGGCGATTTGCGGTCGCCGCTTCTCTGGCTGACTCCGGAGGGGAATCGCCCATCATTCTGCGCATGATGAGGCGTTCCTTCAACAGGCCTCAGTCTGACTCTGGTGAGCAGCCTTAGGGACTGGCACATGGGATTTTGCGCACATTCCTGACTCAGGCAGGCGGCCAATACAAGTTTTATAGTTGACTGCTGATGGCTATGTGTATGTATGTGTTTAATGCTTTTCTATCTGCCCGGCCTCTGACACCTTGCTAGTGGCTGCCTATTGCAGTGTTGCCCTGGGGCACATTTGAACGAAGAGAACTGAATGGCAAGGGGCCCATGTATTGTTGGAAGGGGACAGGGCATGTTGCACTTGTACATGGCAATAGGTGCATGATGGGGCACGGAAACATATGCATAGATCAAATGACAGGGAGGAGGCAGCAGGGAATGCAGATACGATCTGTTTGTGCTCAAATCATTATCAGAAAGGATGCTTCGGTCGCCGTGGCCATGCGGTAGCTTTGTGGAGGGTATTGTATTGTGTTAAACCCTTCTGCATAGCAACGTAACGCTTGGCCATTTTTCGCCTAGTAGCATTAAATAAAACTTGTGCAGAGCAACATAAGGAAAAATAAATAATGCTCTGTTCGGGCCGCCCATTAACGCAGAAAGTTTGCATTACAGAAAGAGGTCCTTTAGTAGCACTCAGCTGGCGCCCTGTGAGGGCTTGGACCAGTGGCAGGTAGCCCAAACTGGGCCCAGGATGACTAAGAACGCCAGTGGCAACACCTTCCCAGCACAAGGACAACATCATAGGGATCCACTCGGGGGGCCACAAGGCCACAAGACCTATCTGCATAGCCATTGTAGGCACGAAGCAGACATGAAGCACCATCTAGCATGGCTGACAATGTACAGAAGCTCGTGGAACACCATGGAAGCACCAGCAAGACACTGCTTGTAGCAATGTACTAGAACTGCTCCCATCACCTCCTCACCATCCGGAACGGCTCGGAAACCCATGCGCGTGCAGCAGAACCAGACTGAAAGGCTCATAGGGACACACTGAGGGACTCCACATAAAAAGAATAGAGCAACGCACCGAGATCGCACCGCATGTCCGAGGGCCAGTCATGATGCTGCGGGAAGCCCATCTCATCCACTTGTCCGGATTGTCAATATCAACAGACCGAACAAAAAGTAGTTGGGGGAAAACACAGACAAGGGGGAGGTCTTGAAGCTTGCCGGAACAGAATGCAAGCGGAAGGCAAAAAAAGGAAAACCCCCCAAAGCCATGTAGTCAGCCCAGGGTCCCGCAAATGGGCTCGGCTCGCGGAGCCACTCGGCTGATCTTCGTGTTCCAAAGGAAAAGTAACCCGGCACG